AAAAAAAAAAAAAAGTCTGAGAATTCAGACAGTATAAAGAAGAAAGCAAAAGCTGTCTAAAAAGCTTTCCTCCCAGAGATCATTTTTGGTATCATCCAGTAAATTACAGAAGCTAGACTTTGGAGTCAGAAAGACGTAAATTTTAATTCACTCTGCCACTTGCTTATTAGATCCCTCCTTAACAAAATCCTTTCCCCTTCTACACTCTCTAGTTGTGTTTCCCTGGTAATCTAATAGGAGTAAAATGTTAAGTTGTTTTTAAGTAGCATTGCTTATGATTGCAATGACTTCTGATTGGCAAACTCCCTTTGTACTGGGGCAAACAAACTAAATTAACTGTAAATACCTGATGGTGGTAGTGATTCTCATGAGAACCCTGGACACTGTACCTATGATATCATTAGTTGAGGAATGAAGATCCTGAACCCACTCAGTATGGATCTCACCTCTTGGAGTCTGAGTCATCATCTGAAGGACCAAAGACAATGGCTGCTGGAAGACTGTGTGAACTGCAGCAAGAACTCCCATAGAAGGGAAGGCCTGATGGTGCCCTGCTGGGCGACCATCATTCCTTTGCTGTATCCACCTGAATAGACTGATGGCAAATGTAGCCTATGAGTCTCTGTGTTTGTTTTGTCGAACCAGAACCTGGGCCAGAAGACCCCTGATGGGTGGGACAACATCCCTAATTTTCATCTCTGGAGTTAGGATATGATAAAATGCTAGATACTATGTCCATCTGGTTCACAACTCTATCTCTAATAAGTCTGCACAGTGCCTGGGACAAGAAATATATGTTCAATGTTGAACCAATTAATGATGAATGAGTTAATGGAATTATTAACTGAGGATTAATTAATTAATTGAGGATTAAAGAAATGTATGAAGGCGCTTAATTCCATACCTGGAACTTTGTAATCATTCATAATAAAGAAAGGATATAAATATTATCATTACTCCTACTATTATTATTATTCTAGAATTTTCCCATAACGATGTAGAATTTTCTTACAAAAATGAGATACTTTAATTGCTATTTCTTAATCTCCTCTTTACTCACTAAATAATATGCCATAAACATCTTGCCATATAAATATATATATCAACATCACCATTTTAAATATCTGTATAATTTTAATTAATTTAAGTTGTTGAATACTATCTTTACCCCAATTAAATATAAAATATTATATTTATAAAATATTAAACAGATTTATAAATGTTATAATAAAATATGAGAGTTTTAAATTTTAATTACCCATATTTGGTTAATCAAAAATACAAAGTTCCAAGACAGACTAAATGTTACCATCATGTAACATATGAAACATATGAAAACATATACTAAGAATGGCAATGAAAGAGAATGAGAGGGATAGAGATAGATAATGAAGAGTATGAAGACACCAATCTCTGGGGAACAAACGAAGAACAAACAGAAATAATGAAGTGTAATAAATGGAGAGCCTAGGGTGCCAGAAATCTAGCAAAGACCTGAATTAACAAAGAAAAAATGAAAAAGAGATGAATCCATATTATAAAGTGGTAGTAAGGGGTCAGGGGAAAATATAATTTCAGGCTATGTATAAAGGGAAGCTGGATAAAGGAAAAAAGGCATAATGATTTCTTTCATGTACTCTGAATGGCTTATCCCACAAAATTCCAAATTGAAGGAAATTCTGGTAAGAGCAACAAAAGCATTTATCAGTATGAACAGAGTTTTTTATATTAATTTTCAAAGAAACTGTACCTTCCAAATAATAAGAACTGTTAATTAACAGAGTAGTCTTCATGAAAATGGTGGAAATTGAGGAAATAGCAAACAAAACTAAGTCACACACTAGAGGATGTCCTTTAAGATACTGTACTATACCAGCTGAGAGTAGGTAAATTGTATCACTTTTATTTCTGATTCTCATTCAGGAAGCAAAAATTCAGAATTAGAAAGATTCACTCTTAATATCAATGAATAGCTTCAATAGGAAATTTGTCAATTTGCCAACAAGAAGGTAGGGTTAAACCTCATTCCTTTAAAAATCACAAAATAGGGGCACCTGGGTGGCTCAGTCGATTAAGCAACTGACTCTTGGTTTCAGCTCAGGTAATGGGTTTGAGCTCCTTTCAGGCTGTGCCAGCAACGTGGAGCCTGCTTGAGATTCTCTCCCTCTCCCTCTCTTTCTGACCCTCCTCCATTTGTGCTCTCTCTCTCTCAAAGTAAATAAAAACTTAAAATAAAATAAAAAAGAATAACAAAATAGATCATCCACATTGTATCACCTTAAAACTTAATTTAATTGTGATAATCTCTAAATGATGGTATTATTTGTAATCATTTTCTTTCTAAAAATATTTTACTGGGTTTTATTTATCTAGGTTTTTAAATTCATGGGTATGTATTATTTTGATATCAGAAGAATTACTTAACACAGATGCATGTACTTCCTTAGTTATGTAGGTCAAAAAATCTTACTATGAATGAGAAAATCCATTCTATTATGTAAAAATAACTTTAATTGATATATTAAGGAGGATATAAGTGACTGTGTGCTTTTCCATGCTTTGTAATTCTAGAATAATTCTATCTCAATGGCAAAGATTTCACATATTTTCATTTATTTTTGGATGTGAATTATAGAGGTGTTTTGTAGAGGGACTGTACTTATTAGCACTGTTCTTCTACTGAAAAAAATCATTTTTAGTATCAACCTAATAATCACTTTGATAATTTTAGGATTACCTGTGTAGAACATTTCATCTTGACATTAATGCTCTTTTTGTATTAAGGGTACAGATAGGATCTGAGTTGTTCATTAGCGTTGATTCAAACTTTCGTTTGGTATGCAATTTGAGCTAAAAGTAATGATCTTGGATGCTTTCAAGCCTTGTGCAGTAATTAAAGAAAAAATGCTTAATCTTTTCTCTTTTAATAATAATCTCCTATATAAAAAGTAAAAGGATTATGTAAAATCAAATTGTTATTATGGAACCTGAGTAATTTGCTTTGAATATAATAAAATATTCTCTATTCTTAACTCATTCCACTCAAATCCCAGCTATTATAACAGTTTCTTACAAACCAAAGCACAATTGTGGAGTTCAGAATCAAGTCTTAACAAAACTATTTTGCAGAGTTTGACCTTTAAAAGCCACTGGAAGGGTCATTGATGTCATCACTATTGTATAGCTTCCTTTTTGACTTACAGCATTTTTGTTTCTGGATTAAGCTTGAACCATCCTATAATTCATCTCATTTCATCTCAAATATATCTCAGAAGACAGACCAAATCCTAAAACTGTTTATTGTAAAGTCGTTAGGTGACAATGCCCAAGTGTAAAGGAATAAGACAGCACTGGCTATAATTAGCATATTCACTACATGAAAACCCAGAACATCTTTTGTCTTCTTTTACTTCTGGAAGGAAGGAAGGAAGGAAGGAAGGAAGGAAGGAAGGAAGGAAGGAAGGAAGGAAGGAAGGAACTTGGACACGGGTCCAGAGGTCATGAACGATCCCTAGAGGTTTGGCTCTTGGGCCCTCCACTGTGCTTCCAGTTGAGGGGCAATCTCAAGTGCCTTAGGCCTGTGGGCACAGAGTCTTGGCTGAGATCCAAGGGACAGCAGCAGGGATTTCTGCCACAGTGATGGCGAAACAGCGTGTGCCTTACTACAGAGATGGTTGCTTCTTGTAATAAAAACAATATTTATGTAGAAAGCAAAAAAAAAAAAAAAAGGAAGGAACTGAAGGAATTTAGTTGAGTCCTCCAGAGAGTTAATTCAAAATCACCCATTGTTATTTCTCAGTGAAAGAGAGAGGGAATGTGCCTTTGGGGCTGGTTTTAAAACTGCTAAAATCATTGTTTTCGGGTCTTACTTTTTAGAATGAGCTTTATACAGAGAAAGGCTTCCCTCCCCAAGCACAGAATGGAAATTTAACTCCCACACAATCCACAACTCACAAATTTCTTCAGAATCAGGCCAAAAAGTGTGATAAGCTGTGCACAAAATTATACACTTTTGGTGAAAGTATTTTAAAATACAAGCTCAACTGAATAGAATAGTATCTTTATTTACTTATATAAAGGTCAGTATATTTGTTTACTGTTAAAATTTCTAAATAAATAAACCAGTTTCTAAATTCAGCAGAATCAAAAATTGCTAAGAGTTGCAAGAAAAATAAAAATCTAATATTGACTAAAGACATCCTTAATAGGAGCCAGTAAGGCCATTTTAAATATAAACTATAAGGGTTAGAGAAGTACCAGGATTCCAGACGCCTTCCATTTGTTATAA